ATCGCACGTACGATCGCCAACTATGAATGCTCCATTAATTTTTCCTTGCTATACATAGCTATATTTTTTAGGTGAAAGCGGCTGTGTACAAAGTAATTCTACAATATGTCGTGAAGGTATCTGCATGAATGGCGGCACATGCAAGGTATGATTACATTAACTGGTAGAAAAATACCACAAACTCGGATCTTTCACCCACTTAAAGGAGGATTCACGATAATGTCGAACGCTGAAGAAGGGAAACTTACTTAGGAAAAACAGGCGGACCCCTAAGGGTGCGGACCGACACGCAATTCGCAGGAAAGGATATGCCCCCAGCGATCTAGCATGGCCCTCCCCGCGGCGCTATCGGCGCGGCACGCCCACCGACTGGCTAACCACTCGCCGCAGGTCTCTAGCCGTTCAGCAGAGAGAGCGTTAGCGTTGAAGAGGGCAGCACCGATGAGAGTCGCATCAATGCGGAAATCAGCGGCAAGGAAGAAGGTCTCTTCGGGGTTCTGGGCCGTTTCTTATGGTTTTTTCTTTATCCTGTCACCACTGACCACTGTTACCTTAGTTTTGGGGGCTGCCTTGTAACAGAAAACTCCTACATCAAAAAAGCGGAAAATTTATCGTGCCACCTACCTTTATTCACTGATAACATTCAAACTGTGACACAAATTCATATCCCTCGGGAACGGTCATATCGTGGCAACATTTCCTTCATGATGGAAGGAATTAATGGGCGGGTGTGGTGTTAACTAATGGCATACTGATACTGCATACTGAGCGCAGCGGTAGGGGTGTCGAATCTCGGGTAATCCGCTCTACCGGCCATGTGCGTTGCACTTCTCCTCCAGAGGTCAGGTGAGCTCAGAAAACGACACCTCTGATTTGCTCGTAATATGCTTGAGACTGAGAATAAGCCTAACCTTAGGCTTGAATCATCGCGCGGCTTCTGTGATCTGACCTAGGAGGAGAACTTAACTTCTCCACTACTGGCCATCCCTACGAGATCGGGTAATTGGTGCCGAACTCATCTGGTGGTATAAAAACACTGACTTGGCATCGACTATCCCGGTAGTTCTTGTATAAGCCAAGTTGCGTTCGAAGTACACTACAATTTTGAAGGGAAGAACTATGCGTTGCGCATACCAAGAAAGAGCTGATCAGCACTGATTGCTTTATTCCTTACTTGCTTTTAATTTGTGCTATTGTACAAACAACCGTAAGCCGAAAGAGAGCGAGATTCCTGAAGGTGCAACGCTTGTTGAATCAGTAATTTCAGCCACTGTCCGACACGCAATATCGTTGTGCTTGTGCAGAATTCTACTACGGACTTCACTGTGAAAAGGTATGCATTTTATTACAACTTAACCGTGGCCATAATGTATATCATGAAATGCAGTAGAAGAGAAAAGCGGCTTCGATAAGCGTGTATCGGCCCAGTGACGCTCATTTACGTCATCGAACCGCCGTCGGCCTCTCAGCTGCCTTCGATACTGCATTTGAATAATAGATTTTCCCTGAAGTTATCATTTTTTTTTCGACTTCATGAAAGTGAGACCGCTTAATTCCTGTATGACCTCTCACTGCTTGCGCTCGACCAGGGTCCCAACCGTCCCGTTCGCGCTATTCAAATCCAATTACTTCTTCCTACTCTCTCTTGAAAAAGTGTGCGAGTGGTGTGCCGACTGGTCGCGAACCCAGAACTGGACAAGTGGTGGTGGTGGTGAGGGGGGGTCGCATCGAGACCCCCCTGAGGGTTAGATATTTTTTTTTGAAATGGGAATCATGGTGGACCCTGGTCAAACTTCATACCAAAAAATAGTGATTATTACGCCGCTAAAGAATTGATGTTTAGGTTTCCGCTTGCATCGGGGCACCCTGTGCCAACGGCGGTATTTGTGAGAATAGCGGACCTGGACAGGTCAAATGTATCTGTCCCATCGGTTTTTATGGACAATGGTGTGAACTTGAGGAAAACAGTAAGTTCAGCAAACTCTTTTATTTCCTTTTTTTTTTCGGTCAGTCAGCAAGAGTTCCGCCTCTAAATAGAGCCACGTTTGGAGATGCCTCTACCCTTGCTACCTCCGATAATCCTGATTTATAGGCTGCGGAGCTCATTTTGCGGAATCTGTTGGTAACCTGACATTCCCTGACAATGGTGAAATGCCGGCTGAACAGCAGTGTGACTTCGTGATCTCTACCGGAGAGGAGAACTCGGTGCGTTCTTACCGTACCGTAAAAGCTGCTCAAAGTGTGGTTTTAATGCATAGGGTAATGGAATTTGAGTCGAGCAGCGCGATTTGGAGATCTCTCAGCCTGGATTATCCTCCGCAGAATTGGAAAATAAGGCCTGTTTGGGGCCAACGCCGACCATATCTTGGAAAAATCTGTGCGTAATTGTGAAGTGAGAGGAAGAAGAGCAACCAAGTATAAGCTGCGATAGTAAATCCGCAATCAAAAGTGTGATGTGCTAAAGGTCTGAAACGATAACTGTGAGAGGCCTTCTGATAAGCCCCTAGGTTACGGTTATGGCTCCAGTAAGTACCCTTCCTTTAAAAACGAGAAGAGCGTCGGGTGCAGACCATACACCACAAGTGACGACGGCCTCCAAGTAAATCTGGTTAGTAGTGGTTCATAGTGATAGCTGATTTTTGGTAAATGATAGTTGTAATTAGTGACAACTGATAGAATACAACTGCAACAGGCTAATCATTTCATTGGCAGAAAACATTTACATTTTGTGGAGGCCGTCGTCACTTGTGGTGTATGGTCTGCACCCGACGCTCTTCTCGTTTTTTGAAAGGATTATATGAAGGGCGCTTACATTGAGGCAACATGGTGGGAGTGTATTTGAAACCGCGTCAACATCAAACGGAACTTAGCTTTGGGCTAAGTAGGAGAGACTCCTAGGATCCATAAGCATTTTTGTTTTTTCGAGGGTTCCTGCCCCTTCCTAGACCTAGTTCGGGATTATGCTCCGTATCTTGTGATAGCGCCATATTTTGAGTAAAATAGCTCAGTGTATTGGGATCATGAGGACATGTGGCCCATTTGTTTCTTGCTTGATTCATCTCCTTCACTTCCTT